TCAGCGTCGGAACGGTACTTCGATAAGGCTATGCGTCATGATAATCGCCTTATCGTTGCCGCCGCTGACTACTCCCCGAATCCTGATCACGCAGGAGCCAGTCACCGTCGACGCCCTAGACACGTCCTTACGGATCCATCAGATCCAATAACCTTTGCATTAGACGCCTTCAGCTCTAACACTAGGAGCAGGCTTAGGGACCCCGGTAACCGTACTCGTCGAACTCGACAAAGAGTTCGCCGTGCAACCTAACCCATGAATCAGCTCGCTGAGTTTCTCGCCGGATCTTCTCAGCGGGTCGCGATTCCGATCCGGTAGTAGATTCATTCGCGAAGCAGCTGCTCTTGAGCTGTTAGGTCTCCTTCGGAGGCGCTCGGGTAGCTGTTAGCAAATCCCATCCCTCCTGGCTGAGCCTTTGCTCGCCCACCTGTCCTGGTGAAACTGGAAAGGCTTCCGGGCCACCGTAATCCTTCAATCATAAAAAAAAAACAATATTTTACCACCTCTATTATCATTTTTAAATGAAATTTAATGTTCTTAAATTATATTCCAAAACAATTTAAATTAAAACGAAAGATATCCGTAGGCACATTTCTCCTTATTCTTTGACCGATCGACCATCAATCAAGCGCTTCGATAGCAAAATGCACTTCTAGCTTTATTTTGATGATATTTTTACTGTAGATATTTGGGTATAACATCTAACGTTTACTCTAAGATTTACGATTTATGAAAATATACTACTTTATAGTTCTCGTTGCCTCAAATAGTCGAATAATAATTTTACAAAAAAGTGCTTTTTGTGTATCATTAAATTTCTTCTGCTACATCAAACCGTAAAATCTGGCTTAAACAAGTTTACGATTCACGAAAGCCTAGTAAGGTCTATATTATTGTAAGATTTCGTATATAAAATAAAAACTCTAGTACGTTCGAATAATAATTGAACATGCAATTTCGAAAAGGGCACATGTCGCATATTTTGTCAAATACGTTTTTTCATATACATGTAGTTTTGAGGCTTACCTACACCCATTTTATAATAATTCCAGTAATTTTCAATTGCTAATTAACACTAAAATAATACTCAAAAGTTAATATTTTAAATTATACACTGCTTTAGAAAATAATCAGTTTTTTTTCTTTTCCTGAACATTTTATATTCTCAGAGATGTGCCCTTTTCGAAATTGCATATTCAATTGATGGTTTACTATCTCGAATGTATGGACCCTTTAAATAACCGAACACGCCACTAGTCTATAAATACACAAAGCTCAGGAAACAAAATCGTGCGGATACAATATAATATAAAAATAATAAAATCGTAGTGACATTTGTTACGAACCGGTTCTCTTCCTGGGAAACCCCAGAAGGTCGTTCCGTAATCAGGCAAAGATTAAGACTATATTGAATGGATAAACGCACCTGAGGCTTGTTTTAGTTTCAACAATGCGGAGCTCGCGTAGTGTCGCCTTAAGCGGTGTAGTGTTAGTAGCAATAAGGTAAGTCTTAATAATTCGTTATATTCGAAATGGTTTCATGAAAAGATTTTTTCAGAAGAAAAAAAAATGTTTTAGAAACTTTAAATCGATTCTTTAATAATGAGTTATATGTGATTTCAAATAAACGATTTAACACGCAAGAAACTAAAGTCATATAAATAGGTTGAAGAAAAAGAAAAAAAAATCAAAGTTTTTATTTATTACATTTCTAATTAAGCAAAGCAAAGCTAAAAAACAATGAGAACAAAAATCATATCAAGTTTATAATAAGATTATAGTAATATTGTACGATATTTGAAGATCGTAGAGATGAAACTTTTTCGTCCATGTTTCAAAATCGACAATGAAATTAGCTTAATTATCAATTTAACTGAAGCTTACATAACTTATGTACGTAGAACGTAAGAAAAAAGTAACAGTATCCTCAGAGCTCACCTTAATACTAACTACAAACCCTAATAGTAAATTTGGTTATTACTAGAGTTCGTTTGACATTTAATTTTCAATAGTATCATTAGGGCTTCTTAATATATCGGTAATTAAGTTAACTAAACGTTAATTAAGTTTAACGTTTTTGAATAATTATTGCTATTGAAAACTTTTATTATGCTCTCATCTGTCTTCTCTAATATTCAGAATTACACCTTGATCTTTATCCTTTTACCTACTCCATTTTAGTCGTTCGAAGCCTTCTACTCACATTTTTATTACTGTTTTATGAAGAAGATGAAAAGATTAATTTTAAGGTGTCTACATTAAATTTATTGCACACCACCGTTATCATGTGGAAGTTTCTTCGTATTTCATACGTTGCAGATATTTCTTCTAATCTGCAAAAAAATATCGCATTCGTTCATAAAACTACGATGATTTTATTTGGACCCGTTTTTAGAATCAGTAAGAAGTGCGTGACAAATCACGTAACAAATCCCTGAGAAAGACGTATTAAAAAGTTCAAAACTTAAAATTCAAGCCAAATTTTGTCATTGCCTGCGATTTGCGGGCGTAGTCTTGTTCAACGGGGTCGATTAGGCAATTACGCATTCCATTTGCGATCGTTTAGACAGTAAACAACTCCAGATATCTATGCTAGGTAATGTCTACCTAGTAGTATTACAGTAAAATCAACAACAGCAGCGTAGGGGATTAGGCGAGCAATATTATGCCGTTAACGTGTTTAATTTTAAATTTTATCATTAAGAAAATAAAGCGTATTAAATTGTTTAAGTTCGTCTAATTGTGCAATTTTAGTGTTTACTTTTTCTTCAAATCTTATTAGGACTCGATTGACGAGATTGGTATTTATATCATTGAGCAGAGTCACACCCTCCATTGTCATGACACGCTGTACCATTATTCAGTTAAGGATTAAATTAAAATTAATAAATATCCATGCTATTATTATTCACGTACGGCTTATGGAAATCTAGCTCGAAGAGATCGCATACTTGCAATAAGCCAAGAGACCGTGATACTGTGTCCTAGGTTTTAAAGCTGCTGCGATATTCCATAAAATTTTCTCTTTTGTTTTTTGTGCTTGCTTTTTTTATTTATATGCTTCATATATTACAGTCACAACATTTTTAAAAGGTCTTTTACTTTGTAATTACTCCTGATATTATGCAGTATCGAAATTTTGTAAGTACGAAACCATTAAAACTACACCTGATTGGAAACAAAAAAAAACATCAATGGCATTTACATTTTCAAATTTATATTCAATTATTTATTTATTCTATGTTTATCGTGAGCCTATGTATTCAGTATCTTTCGTGTCTTTTTTTTCCCTACCTGTGCTGATAGCCTTGAGAGGCTATTTCAGCTTCACCCTAACATGTAGGTGAGCTCACGGGGCTAAAACCGGAGTGATGCTAACACTGACCCTAGCAAGAGCAGTGCTTCGCAGAATCTACCATCGGATCGGAAACGCGACCCACTGAGAAGATCCGACGAGAAACTCAGTAGGCTAATCGTATCTAATATAGCATAAATTGTAATAAAGAATAGCTCGATTAGAAGGACTCGATTAGATAAAAAATAACTCGATTACAAGGACATTACTTCATAGGAACGTAAATCACATCACAGGAAGAGAGGTGACAATTTAGAGAAGCTGTTGGTAACAGGCAAGGTATGTGGATAAAGGCGCAGAGACAGAAGTCGAATGCGCTGATCGGAACAGATACGCTCCATTCTCAACACCTTACTCCACGTTGCTACCCAGCCGAGGATAGGCAGGAGTGGCGCAGGATCCAGGAGAAAGTTATTAAAGGAGGCCACGTCCCTTAGCATTGAGGATTATCGACGTAAGGGGGGGAGGAGGAACTCAGACGATTTGTTATAAGATAGATCGAAATCGGCAGCAAAGACGTCTAATTTGTTTGCAGTACCTAAATGCGTAGCGATCACTATTTTTTCCATTAAAACCTCTTAATTTAAAACCGAAATGAATAATGTAAATGGTACCATATACCTTAAAGACAGAAAGTCTATTTTCGACAAACAACGGGCTTCTGATCCTTTAGGCCACATATACTTCTTTTATTTATTTGTTATAGCTTGCTGTCGTGTTCACATGAAGCAGTGGTGTCAGATATCTATTACGGGGTGAGCAATTACTCCTTTCCTGAGGATTTTATATTCGGTGTCTCAACGGCCGCATTTCAAATAGAAGGAGCGTGGAATGAGGGAGGTGCGTTAAGCTAATAATAATATGTATTGTAGTGATAAAGAATTTAAGTGAAAAATATTTTAGTAATCTTGTTATTTTAAAATTATTTTTAAGTAGTAAACATTATTGTTTTTGATTTGTCTTATTTCTCGAATATGTGTCTCTTTTGACGAACAATTAATTATCTTCGGTTTTCAAAGACTATTCGTGAAAACAGTACTTTGGTTGAAACATTTTCGTTATCAGTTTTCGTTACACATTACAAAGAAATGAGGCTATTGTTTAAGAACAATATCTGAAAATTGAATACAAGCAAGAGAGTTAATTAAAGTGAATAAACAAAAAATAACACCTCTTAAACACAAGATCCGGCTTAATATGAATTCAAGTAAATCCTTAATAATAAATACCTACGTAGGCGTATTTTAAGTGAACATAAAATAAAACTTCAATAGCGACCACCTTCAAATTAAGAATATTATATATCGCTCCAAAATTTCCGGTTACTCTTCATTAATTTTCTATAAATATTTATACAGAATATTTTACGAAATCCATGGCCCTACTAAATAGGCTTAGCGTTATTATTCATAAAACTTTTGGTTGGTACGAAGTCAAATCGAATATTGGAAATATTACGTATTCAATGCGACACACATCCTGTTTTTTAAAAGAAAAATTCAATAAAAACGTTTTATAGTAAATATGATATATTTTTTGCTTCAGGAAAAGGAGAGAGTATTTGGGACACGTACGTTCACGAGCATCCGGAATATACCCCCGATAAGTCGAATGGAGATATTGCAGCTGATTCATATCACAAATTTAAAGAAGACGTACAGTTGATTAAGGCACTGGGAGTCAAATATTATCGTCTGTCAATATCGTGGCCGCGGTGAATATTTTCTTCAATAAAATTTGCTTTAGCTAGTTCTAGGAGTTAAGAAACTTCAAAAATATTTATATACCAATTTAGAAACCGTATTAACAAAGGCAGTTATACGAGTAGTTGTTTCTTCAAATGGTCAATCAATGTAGTGATGCGTGTTCACATTTATAATTATTAAAGGTTTGATTTTTATTTTACATTGACATTTCGTTATTGTCAAAGTCGTTCGTGAAAATGAATTAGATTCTTGGTGCTTTCATACTAAAGTCGGTATTTGCCTGCAAGCTTTAAGATGCATGCGTCTTGTTCTTTCCGCTATGATACTACACGTTAAAGTACTTACTACTACTTTACATGCCTAATTTTGCGGTACAAAAAATTATATTAAGTCGATTTATCGCTCGAATCTAGATCGAATCTAGCTGTAGTAGAATCTAGCCAGTAGCTGTAGGATTGAAATTATTTTAATAGACCTAGAATATTTTTTTTTTGCGCATCGAATATGGTTATTACCTATCATTTATGTACAAAGCAGTTATTGTCGCTTAGTCACGTTGGCCTTTCAGGCGTCGATATATATAATATAAGCAATAGTTGTATTCGCGTCAATGAACTATCTCACTTCAATTTTTTACAGATTGCTACCAAATGGAACAAGCAATAACATAAGTACTGATGGAGCGCGATACTATCGAAATCTTTTCGAAGAGCTTTTGAAAGCGAATATAACTCCTATTGTTACGTTATTCCATTGGGATATGCCCACGCCCTTCATGGATCTAGGAGGATGGAGCAACCCCGTGATAGTGGATTACTTCGTAGATTACGCAAGGGTCGCGTTCAATTTGTACGGTGACATCATTAAAACGTGGACCACAATTAACGAGCCACATCAGCATTGTTACCAAGTAAGGAACGAGGTCAAAAAATGCTAGACCATTAGCATGTGTTTCGCGCTGGGCGTACATTGGAATATTGTAACGTACTTGAACTAGTTTTAATATTGCGTAAATTCTATTTTTAAGACAGTAAGATCACTCGAAATTTTAGGTCACAGTTCTCAAGTTTCCTATTTAAATTTTTATTTTTCCAAAAACGAATTCACGATGGTTTTTTTTCGGTTTGATGAAACTTAAATGATGAATTATTTAACAACGAAAATTTTATATTTGTACATTTTTGGTAAAATTCTTCTAATGTTAACAGGGTTACGGAGCCGACTACTTCGCACCAGCCATAAAGTCACACGGTGTAGGAGAATATTTATGTGCACACTATTTAATCTTAAGTCACGCAAAAGCATATCATTTATACGAAAAAGAATTCAAGCCGCATCAAAAAGGTGGATATAGAATCTTATTTCGTTACTAACGTTAACATATTTTCGCTCGCACCATGGTTACTAGACTTTGTGAATGAGTATTTCATTTTTTATCACTCTGAATGAGTAAAGCTCTCTACCCACCGATGTGATGTGGCTACCGCAGCGTATACACCTAGAATCGTCTGAGGCCCAACCAAAAAAAATCCCTGTATAGTCGTATAGATTAATGCGACTGTATTAATGGTTAAATCCTGATGATAAGGAATTCCCTTTTTAAGCGATAAACTTCCACTATGAAGAAATGATAGCATATAATAAAACCGAATCGTGCAAAATGTTAATTTTATTCTTGTGTAATTTTGTGTGGGCAGTCCGTCCGCTGATTTGTATTCAACGAAACTAAAAAAGTAATTTTATGTAACAGTAACAAGAAAATATTTTATCTAGTTTTTAATATGCAGGTAAAGTTGGAATTACTTTAGATGCATTTATGGGAATACCAAAGGATCCTCGGAACTTTGAAGATGTACTAGCTGTTCGAAGTTACCTGCAAATTCATGTAAGTACCAATACAAGTACAGACGAACCAATTGATACCGCCATTCAAAACAACATCGAAATAAATGCAATACCAAAAACAGTTTTTTTTTTCTTTTCTTTATTGAGTGTTTATTTTTATTATGTCTGTTTGCTGATATAAACCGAATAATATTAATCGGGGGGTAGTGTATGTGAAAGGTGATCAAATTCTCACACGACTGTATTCGTAATCGAAGAGTTTTTCCTTTAATTTATTACCGAATTTTATTATAATTTTTCGCCTTATAGAAACTTCATTTTCAGTTTGATCTTTACGCTCATCCAATCTTTTCTGCCGAGGGAGATTATCCTACATTCGTGCGACAAAGAATTAACAATATGAGCTTGGCTCAGGGATTTGCAAGATCACGTTTACCGTATTTTACTGCAGAAGAGGTGAATATAAAAATCTAACAATTTTTAAAGTACATAGACGTATAATATATTATTTATGTTATACTTAAAATCAAGGGAATTCCAAGTATTTGTATTGCAGAGAATCTCTCAATAAAAATTTTTTTTAAATGCGTATACGGCGCCCCATAGTAAATCGATTTTAAATAGATTTCCAATACTTCCGTAGTATATTTACTTATTCGTTACTAAGTCTTTTTATTTTAATAAACACAACACCATGTACAGCCAATAAAATCACCTGAAAAATAGGTGCGAGCTCATCTCTTGTACCACGTTAAACAAGTTTTAGACTAATTTAAATTTTGTTGTTTATTTTAGGCCTTGGTTTTAATTATGCATTAATTTGCTATATATTTTAGCGTTAACTAGTCGAACCCGCCTGTTTTGCCGGCCAATCTTTGATTTGAATTTACCAAACCAAACTTCACGGAATCACCCGCTAGGCCAAACTAAAGATTTCCTAACATCGAAATTGGTCCAACCGTTTCAGATTTTATTGGTAACATACCTATGCATGCATGTTAACCTATGTAAATGAAATTCAATTTGTCTACTGTGTATGTATACAAATCGATTTTTTATTTTTAATATGCCGGTTTTCAAAGTGATTATTGGGAGCTGGTTAATAAATTGTTAATTTGCCGTAGAATATTTAAAATAGATATTTGGTATTCGGGTCTGCATTTTAAGTGTGTAGTTGTTTCATTTATTTATTCACAGGTCAAAATAATCCGCGGCAGCTCAGATTTCTTCGGACTTAACCATTATACCACGTACTTGATGTCACCATCTGAAATGGAATTTTCCTGGTCGATACCTTCAATGGATCACGATGCTCAAGTTAGAATGGAACAAGACCCACACTGGGAAAAACCCGGTACAGAATGGCTTTCGGTATGAACATTTGCGTTATGAAGTTGTACGAACATTTTGTTGTACTATGGGGTCTATGGGTAGTTTTAGTATTCAAGTGTAATTTTCCTATTGAAGTCTTATGCATGTTTCTTGTCGTAACGTGAAGTATGTTCATGAATCTTTAATTTTTTTTAATTTTACGAGATCCTAAAGACATGTTTTAAATTATTTTCTTTTATTGTTTTCTAAAATTAATAAATAAAATGACAGGAAGCAAAATGACATACCTAAGTTGAGTAATATGAGACTTTAATCAATTAGGATGAAATTAAATATAAAGAGATGAGATGGGATAAAAGCAAAAAGGTGGTTATAGATGCAGCGAGAAATTATTTTCCTTCAGGAAAACTCGGATCTTTATCGGAATACGATGACACCCGAACTGTCAATGAATGTTCGTATTAAATTAGTGACATTTTCATATCCATTAATATGGAACTTTATTGTTTAGTGTCAAATGTCTAAATGAATAATATCATTGTATAATATATTATAGAGATGTTACAACCATAACAGTTATTACTTAAAACGGGATATTTACCAGTGTATTATACGAAATGAGTTCCCGTTATTTTTAAGTAATAATTGTTATGTTCGTGACGATGTTAGCTTAAAATCATAATTATGTTACAAACACCTTCTGTAACTTTGAAAATACTCAGTTTTATTGTCGTTAGTAAACAACACGTTATCTCCACTTTGAAACATAATCAAAAGTACAACAAAATAAAGCTTATTGGGAAATATTTACAATTATAAAACTCAATACCTGCCTAAATTTTATGTCATTGGCGTCCCTCTCGTACCTAAGTAAACAACCTGTGTGTGAGAAAAATTCGACATAAAGGGTTAAAATTTTATTCAAATTAAAATTTTACCTACTGCATATTTGGATCGATGTTTTCAATATTTTATAGATTTGTTCATAAATGAGATGAAAGTTATAAGCCATTCGTCGTATCACTGCATAATGAAAATCATCAAGATCTAGATAGAATTTCTTGCGTGGTCGTCGTCGTGGCTTAAAGGATAAGACGTCCGGTGCATTCGTATCTAGCGATGCACCGGTGAGCGAATCCCCCAGGCGGGTATCAATTTTTCTGATGAAATACGCACTTAATAATTGTTCACGATTGACTTCCACGGTGAAGGAATAACATCGTGTATTATAAATCAAACCCGCAAAAATTATAATTTGCATAATTACTGGTGGCAGGACCTCTTTGTGAGTCCGTACGGGTAGGTACCACCACCCCGCCTATATCTGCCGTGAAGCAGTAATGCGTTTCGGTTTGAAGGGTGGGGTAGCCGTTATAACTATACTGAGACCTTAGAACTTATATCTCAAGGTGGGTGGCGCATTTTACGTTGTAGATGTCTATGGGCTCCAGTAACTACTTAACACCAGGTGGGCTGTGAGCTCGTCCACCCACCTAAGCAATAAAAAAATAAAAGTGGTCTACCCAGCGAATATTTAGTTGCGTATTATCCACTCTATATTATTATATAGTTATATATAGGTCTGCTGATGCGACTTACCCCCTTTTTTTTGTTAGGAGGAAATCGCCGGACTTCCACCCTCCCCTGGGGATGGAGGGTGGGGCATGTCGGAGTCAAACTGACTAAAACCTCCTGTCGCCCAACAACCCACGTCCGAACCTCGCATGAGACAGAATTCATGAAAAGGCAAAGGGGGGAAAGTGAAGCGTTTAGTTCGGAGCACATCTCTCTCATCACCCTCCCCCTCGGGACGCCGGACCGGCGGCCGTCGGCGCCACGACCACCAGCCCTCTCGGTCGGCAGGCTATTCGGAGCCCGGCTAGATGGCGCCGGTTAGAATGGGTTATTCTACGGAATACCGCGCTAGGTCAGAACCAGCGTGGGTCCAGGATAGCCGGCCTTCCATCACCCGGATGCTCTTACGTAAAACGCGTGCAGAGCAGCTTGCACGTCGTCTTCTTAGGCCCCCTTCGCCGGTCCCCAGACCGACATGTGAGGGGGACCGAAACACTTAGAGGGCCAGGGCTTGGGCGAGATCCGCTTTCCTGACCCCCGCTCGACGGCGGCGGGCTTGTGTGTCTCTCACGCGCCCCGCCGCCTCCTTCTGCGAGATGGTGCACTCGCAGAAGTCGAGCATCAGCTTCCACGACTCGTCTCCGCCGAGAATCGATGCCACAGCGCTCGGCAACGACAAGTCGTTTCCTATTTTTGCAACGAGGTCACGGCGCCACCCCTCCCATGCGGGGTAGACGACGAGCGTGTCCTCCGCCGTGTCCAAGTCGCAACCACAATGGTGGCACTCTGCCGTTGGCTCGGCTCCGATCCGGTGCAGGAACTCACTGAAGCAACCATGCCCAGTGAGCACCTGCGTGAGCTGAAATGTGAGGCATCCTCTGTCACGATTCACCCAGTCCACAAGGACTGGGCGAATTGCCTCGACGGTCCTACGACCAGTCGAAGGATCGGCCAGCCGGCTGGACCATGATTCCAGCACGGACCGCCGAGATTGGGCCCTCCGCGCTCTGACCACACTGAGGCTGGGAGGCGCCGCAGCCCGCCACAGATAGTCAGCGGCGAGCGCCTCCGCCCCCAGGACCCAAGGCGGCGTACCAGCCAGTATACACGCTGCCTCGAAATAGATAGTGCGATAACCACGGATGACCCTGACCGCGATGGTGCGTTGTGGCCGTCGCAGCAACTTCGCTACCCCCACGGTCAGGGACTGGCCCCACACATGCGCCCCGTATAGGGCCATTGATCGCACCACCCCCGTATAGAGACGGCGCGTCACTTGGTCAGGGCCCCCGACGTTGGGCAGAAGCCGGCTTAACGCGTCGGCCACCCCCAACAAACGAGGGACCAGGATCTGAATGTGAGCACGGAAGGTCCAACGACTGTCCAGAATGAGGCCGAGGTACTTCAACTGCACCCCGACCCCAATACGAACGCCTCCAACCACGATATGGGCATCAATAGGTGGCACTCTCCGGGGCCTGTGGAACCACATGGCCTCGGATTCACCGAGTGCTACGTCGAGGCCCAATCTCCTGATTTTGCCGACGACATGCGCCACCCCAGCGGTAGCAAGACGGTCAGACTCAGCAAAACTCTTAACTTCTACTTCTCTAACTCAAAACTTAAGAGAGCACGATAAATGCAAACTTTTCCGAAAAATTACCAAGGAAAATCTTTTCTCACTATATCTATATTTACTAAGACTTTTTAGTGTATTTTTCGGGAAAAACTTGAGAAGCTAAGTCCAGCGGCTTTGTTTCATTTTCCCACATTTGTGTACTTTCACAGATGCTAAACAGTTAATAAACCACCGTTATTACAGATTTAGTGGGTCGCGATTTCAATCCGGTAGTGGATTCTGCGAAGCACTGCTCTTGCTAGGGCTAGTGTTAGCAAATTCTCTCAGGTTGAGCCCGTGAACTCACCAAACCCTCCGGGCGTAGCTGGAATAGCTCCTTAGGCTACTAGCCTATAGACAGGGGGAAAAAACGTCACATTTCAACCTGCAGAAATACTAAATGTACAAAATAAAACAATTCACACAACCTCGCTTCTCGCGTCCCCCCGAATCTTTACATTTAGCAACTGCCAACAGGGCTCTGGTTACCTTTAAACAGCTTTTCTGCCGGTTCGAATTTTTAATTCAAAACATTTCATTGTGTCTAATCTGGTACTCGAAAATAATTACATTTTAAAACTACCCGATGTGCTACCACATACGATTTCGTTGCATGGCAGTTATCCCATCTTTTACACTGCATTGCACGAATACTTCGCACCAGAATAGGGAATTGTAAAATATCTCACCCCTAGTGAATACCAACAGTTCAGTATTTGTGTCTTTGATAAAAATAGGTTGATAAAAAATCAACATATGAATGATGAAGTTTGTTTACAGGTTTACCCAGAAGGGTTTCGAAAGTTATTGAACTACGTAAGCGATAATTACGGAAGAGAGATTCCTATAATTGTCACAGAAAATGGCGTCGGTGACAAAGGGCAACTAAAGGACTACGATAGGATCTCATACTTCAACAAATACCTATATCAATTGCTTTTAGCCATACACGAGGACAACTGTAACATTATAGGATATTTTGCTTGGACCCTTATGGACGACTTTGAATGGTCAGATGGATACTTGTGAGTTTATTTTAAAGATGATTTTTTCATAACTTTTAATTATGTCATTATTAACCTTGTATGCCTTTCTACCAGCCATTTATTTCTTCTCTAATGTCCTATCCAGTCTAAGGTGTTTAGTCTCTAATCTAAGTCTATCGTATTTTTGCTGATCAACTTGTGCATCTTCACCTTACCTTGTTCACAACGTCATTTCCGAATATTCTCCGACAATGCCGAATATATGAGTACAATACCAAAAAAAAAAGGTTCTATTAAGGTTCTAAATAAGGTTATACCAAAATGGGATATTAGTATTATCTAAAATGTAAACCTGCGAACTAAGTCAAATAATATTAACAAGTTCCATTTTAGATTCCAAGTATTAAAATGTAAATACCTTTGCAATAAATCTACGCGATTTATCGATCTATGAAACATATTATTGGTGTTGTGTTTTCTTGATCGTACAACTTAGCTAGCCTAGCCCAATTAACATAGTAGAAAGGAGTTGTCAAGAACTTGGCTAGGCGTGTTATTTTAAGAAAACAAGTTTTGTGTGATGCTACTATTTAATTATAATCATTCAGCATTCGTAATAAGCCATCACTACAGTGTTGACATTTGAAATTCTATAGCTCTGCTAACAAGACGTAAAGGACCTGTTTCTGAAGCTAAAGCGACATAATAACATCAAGAACATAAAACCATATACTACTTACACATCACATATATACATCACTTATCTGAGCATAAATTATTACCGTTTTACGAAGTTCTTGTTCGTGACCCGTAATCTAAATCGAAATCAGCTTACGGATGCCTCCTAGGTCACACGAGACCGTTGACCTTAGCTATTTTCAAATTGCGAGCTAAGAAAAACTGATTAGTAAAATACAACCAACCGATCGCAAATATTGGATCTTCAATTTTTTCATAATTTCAGGAATCGCCTGCTAATATACTCGAAACACCAATACTTTAAAATTTTGAAAACTCAACAAATTACAATATCTAAATTTATATTTCATAATTATATTTCATTCGGAAAACATCGGTAACATTTTTAATAACAAACCCAAAATATTCTTGATATAATTTCACAATGGTCAGGCCGATATAATTAGTTATTCTCTTGTGTTTTCGAGTCGTATACGATGACGCGATTGCAAACAAAAGTATCTCATACCGGAGACAAAAGACAAGAACGCTTGACTTTGACTAATCAAGTATTTGAAAAGTCAGACTGAGTGTGAAAGGAGAATAAACACGAGATTAAATCTCAATCTTTAGTTTTACCAGTCACGCCTGTGTTATTTAACCTACCATTACTATCCATCCAATACTGCTCATTCGCTACACTCTCTTCTATAGTTCTGGTTATAAGTTCGGCTGCCCATACGAATTCGTACCACGTTACATTGCAAAGTATAAGAACTTTTCCAATATTTACAAGGTTTTTGACCTCGAGTATCAAGTTGGGGGACGGTATGCAAGCATATGTTTTTCTCCAGTAAGAGGGTAATGTACATCAAGCAGAAAAATATCATTCTTAAAAATATTTACAGGTCGAAGTTTGGGCTATACAAAGTGGACTTTGACAGCCCTGAAAGAACCCGTACACCAAAACTCTCAGTATCGAGCTACCGCAACATAGTACAAACTAGAAGAATTAATTTTGACCGCTACAAGCCGCTTCCGAATAAACTCAATCATTTTTGATGATAAATTAATATAGTATTTTTTTGGCTTTGTAATAACTTTAAGATGAAATTGATAGAAATAAATAATATACCATTGTTACAGAGTTTTTGTGATTATTTTATGACACATATTACTTTCCTGTTAGTCTTCAATGCTCCAAATACCACTTTTCAACAATGTTACACTAATTAAATTTGTTTATTAAAACAATTAACAGAAAAATTATTGTCTTGGTAAAGTTTCTTATATTTGGATTGTGACAAATGAATTTCAAACAGAAGAATGCGTGTCGGACTGACCATAGAAAAAAAATAACTGTCAGAGCGAAGAATTTCACATTTTCGTCTCTAAGGTCTACAGCACGTGTAATCAAAAGCATTCCACATCTCAGAAAATACGAAGCATAGCTGGGTCAAAGTAATTTACGTTAAGAGTATATTTTAAGCTTTATTATCTCAAAAGTTAAGCACTAACGGACGACTGCCCATTTTTATAAATGGTCTAATATTAATTTTAATAAACTTTGTGCCCTGTCTCAAAATAAGTTTTGATAATGAAATTCAACCCTAAATAGTCGACAGTAACAAGTTCTTTTACTAGCTAGTTTCAGTAAAGCTATTCTTGTTATGAAGGCATATGCAAAATTTTTACCTCAAAACGCGTTTTACAGCTCAAATGTTTTATTGAAACACAAACTGGTCCTAAATTTCCAAAAACCATCTCTAAAGATTTTCAGTATAGGTTTTTACTGTTGGTCTCTGGACGATTGTCTGTCAATTTGAACATTTCTGATCCTAAAAATTGGTGTCAGCGCACAGTTTCCTACTTTCCTTTCCCAAAACTTCTACACGGAAAGTTATGAGGCAATTAACTGAATATTGCGTCAGATAATTGGCACTTTCGTTCTGAGTCTTATACTTATACGACGTTTCAACCGGTTCCGAAATTAAAATAATTACTAACTGTGAGTTTTCCTGTAAAATATCACCGTCACTCATAGACTTCAGCAATATTAAGATCACAGCAAAGCCGCTGCCTACTGCTGGTGATTCTTTTCAAACCACATTTGAAGAAGAACATGTCACAGTACTCGGAAAACACCGGAAAGCATATTCATTCCAGAGCCGGATGGTACATTACAAAAAGGCCTCTGAAAACGCTTCATGGATGAACTATAATCCGGTGGAGTGCAATGCCATGGTAACAAGAAAATAACGGGATAATCTCGAACAGTTTATCAGAACACTTCCGGGAAAAATAGAACATACGGGAAAAAACAACACCTATAACTTATCTATGAATACCGCAAGGATTGATATTATAATATGTACTTGTAAAATACTTCAAGTCTTGTGAGTACGCATGGATCTGATCGAACCTCCTTTATGTGTAATTCTGCCGTACAGGAACAGTTTAAAGGACAACCATTATTCTGACGAAATTGAGAGTTTGACCTTACGTCAAATTATATTTTTACGTCGTTGTATTTATAGGCTTTGTTCAACACTAGGTTGACCGTGAACTATCATCATCATTGGTAATGTAGGCCAATGAAAAAAAGAAATATACTTATATTTAAACCTTGAAGCGACTTGTAGGTATTAATTAATACTCATATTGTCCAAATCAACATTTTTAAGAGAATAAGTTTCTAGTTTACATAATCGAGGGATTCAATGGAAATAGGTTATATTATAAGAAATAGGTAGGTAGATAACTACTAGGTAGGTAGGTACTAACATTTAACAACTACTATGCAGCGAGCCCGTCTGTCCATTTACTACCCAAAAAGTCTAAATGTTCTTCTAGTATATAAATAAATATATTTTTTCTAGTTTCTAGTTTAGTTTTGATTTTTGTGCAGGATAGTTAAATTGACAGATCCTATCCTCACATTTTGGGGTCGCGGGTCGCTTTTTGGGAGTGGAACACTAACCAGACAGATCCTCTGTCGTTATTCCACTCAAGCTTTCGTTTCTAGAAGGAGCTATAAAATGGCATGGGGGCCATTTGTGCTAACTCGCGTAAATTAACAACGTAAAACTACGGAACCCCAAACTGGTGATCACCGACCCCACGACCCTGAAAGCCCTATTGGTCGATTGTCTCGAGGAAAACTAGCAAATTCCATAGGCATACAGTCGGCCTTCAAGTAAAACGAAGATCTTTAAACTGAAACATCGAATTGAAGTAGTAGCGCATTAAATGATGTTATTGATTCTAAATATTTTACAAAAAAATAGAATTTTAATTTAGAATTTGTGCCTTCATAGGCACATTTAATAAATTTACAATTAACCTTGGCACATGATAAAATATTTATAAATGCATTCTATTAACAAAATATTACCTAACCTAATCGTGTCCTTCGTTCTTGACTTTAAGATTGCTGTAGGTCGTTTTAGGCCGACTTCGTGACTCTAATTAATTTGGTCATAATATAACAGGGTATCGCAATCCTACGCTTAGGTGATCCATTGATGAAAAACATATTTAATTTCAATAATTATATACGTTCACACTTTTCCTCGTATTTTCTCTATTTTTCTGAATCTACTTGGACGCCTCATTTGTGAAACCTAAAGACCCTCTACAGAGGCATAAAATATGGTCAGCTTTATTTTTTGTCTTGTTCAAATTAACATAGGTGGAGACAAAGAAGAAGTTGATGAAATTAACTACGCCATATACGACACATTGCATTTTATCATAAACATTCATTTTAATTTCTCTAATACAAATAATTCGTAGCCTCATTTCCCTTTAAAAGTACAGTTTCGTTGGAGTATGAAATTTTTGAGACCAAAAGTGAGTCATTTATTGATTTGTCTTGGATTTGAGCGGTTGCCATATTATTATCTTTACTTATTTAAAATAAACATCATGCTCTCATGGTTTGACTAATGAAATGCCCCAAAAAATCGCTTCTACACTCAAAAATAAAAACCAGTAAGTTGAAAATAAAATAATTCTGTAGCACCTGAGAACATTTGAAACCGTTCAAAATAATAATATTCTTCCTTCAGAGGCAGTGGACTATCTTTTTTCCAATAAATGTTCAATCTGCGGATTACAATAGATGTGAGAATTTAGTCTTCTAAACTTTGATTAAATTCCAGAAATGTATTGCCTACTTTCGTTTATTATTATTTTCCAGAATTTAACCAGTCTGTAAATAGCTTTAAATTTTACAAATACTTTAACCCGTTTTCTATGTCTGGAAGTTTTACAGATATTTCCGGCGATATAGACAAAGGCATAGTTAAGAATAGCTGACCAAACGAGGTCAGCCTCAGCCCGAGACTTCGGGTTTCGTATTTATTTTAAGGGCATCGTAACTCCAACAAAACTATGTTAACAAACCAGTACTGGATATAGAGCGTTTGCAGAGGTGTCACTGTAAATGTTTTATGTTTAGACTTTTATCCCATCGGTGTTAGCATTTTTCGTTGACAGCACAACGTGAGAAAAAAAATTCGCTGCTTCTACTTGTCATTAAAAATAAGTTTTTGCAATGAACACTTCTGTAATTTGATAATGGCAGTTTTTTTAGAAAGCAGGAATCAATTTAATTGTACTTAATGTTTTGACAAACAACAGGTGTGCTTAGATACATTTAAGTTTTATATATTATAAAAGAATTCTATATATTATAATATATGTACTTTCGAGCCTATGCCATTTTTTTTAAATGAACGTCTTATTTATTTAAAAACTGTGAAATCTGGCCGCGTTGCATTCTGATCCACCATTCAAAATGTTATCGTTAAAAGTATGAACTTTCATAGCCATTCTTTCAAATCCATTTCATAAAACTATTTTCGTAGATTTTAATAATACTATAACAAAATCTGAAGTGTCAACAAAAAATTTATAGCCTTAGACTTGGCTCCATAGGACTAGTTTTGAACTTGGTTGTTGCTGGTGGCAGGGCGATTCGTGAGTACGCACGGGTAGGTACCACCATCCTGCCTAATTCTGGAGTGAAGTAAAACTGCGAAAAATATTTGACTGCACTGTAAACTATGGTAATTAATTAACACCGGGTGGGGCGTGAGCTTATCTACCCATCTAAGCAATAAATAGAAAAGGGTGGTAAGTTCACACACAACGTGTTCGGTGTAACTACCTATATTTAATCTAATTTTCCTTATACATTATACAAAGTACCACACATACAACATACAACAATAAAACAAACGAATAATTAATACAATAATTATTACGTTTAGCGTTGAAATTTAGTCGGTTTTGGTACAGGTTAAATACTCTCCGTACCGTTTGCGGTATGGGCTAAGTCGATATGGGGTAAGTAATTAAGATCTGCAACCACACTGTGAGGTTAATTGACTGCCTAGGTGAGAAAATGGATGTCCATACATTTGTCTTACAAAAGCCATTTCATTATATGACAATATCACGGTAAGCACCTCATCGGTCTAGATTACTTGACTACTGAACAAAGGTGACGCAGTTACATTCCCTATTAGATTAGGGAAAAGTAATTTGACATCCGTGATTAGGATCAGTGTATTTGTTCTTGTCTTGTACGTATTTCCGACACCGTGTAAAACAGCGCATGTGAAAATGTTAACTGGGGCCTGTTGGATGTGAAATCGTATTTTGTTTGGAACAGGCTCGTGGCGAAACGCTATTTGTCACGAAGGCACTGGTTTGATATGTTTCAGTTTTGCTAGAGTCTATAATAAAGTTAAGGTTTCAATTGGCTGCATTCATCATAAAAACGAATCCAAAAGAGATGGTTATAGTCGGAAATGCGGCATAAGACAGGACGAAAATTAGATCTAAGTCTCAATTATATAGCCCTGATCCCAGGCTTCAAATCGGATTACATTACTACTTCGCGGTAGAAATAAGGTAGTATTGTGATGCTTATACATTTAATTTTTAAATGTTTGATTTTTATTACGCGATGTTATTCCTTCCATATGAACCTTGCCTAATCGCTGGTAGCCTAAGGGACTATTGCACTTCCGCTCGGACAGGCAGGGAGCTCACGAGCTCAACGTAAATTCCGACACCCACTCTGAGACATGAGTTGTAAGGTCTCAGTTTTTACAGTACAACGACTAC